GAAAGAGAAACCCACAGGAAATAAGAATGGGAGGAGTTGACATCTTCATAGTGCTTTTATGATTTTCTATTTGCCCATTTCTAAGTAATAAAATTTACTTCTAGTTATTACAGTATGATCACTTCACAATGAAAGCACGTTCTCAATACAAGTGTTACACCAAAGTCTGGCCTAATTTACTGAACAGTATGAAGAAAAACATGCTTGTTGTGATTCTCAAGTGATGAAGGGCATCACCTACCAATCCCATTTGTAGCACATACTTCTCATGGTATTTTAGTTACATGCCAACAAGACAGAAGACATGCTGCCAAATGAAGTTATTTGGAACATTCCACTTTCGAAATAAAAACATTTAACTTACACTTAATACAAATTATGTACAAGATTAGGAAAACCTGAACAGATCCTGAAACATTTTCAGATGCAATATGACTGAGCAAGGAAGAGGGGGAGTAACCCAGTAGCAACCCTTCAAAAACACCAACGTATGCCTGTGACATGAACAATCATTAATATGACTGCTTGAGATGCCACTTTAAAAAAAAAACTCATGTAATGTTAGAACCTCATGAATTATCACTATAAATACATATTTTAAAAAGGAAAACAGAAATAACTATTAACAATGACTGAAAACAGAGCACTAAAGTTAACATACATTGCATGTATTGCAGGCAAGGCAGAGGCATTTTTTAAAGCTTTTGCACAGACTTCATATAATCTTAAAAAAAATATGCTGGCCTTTACAAGGTTCTACTTGCTGAAATAAAAACAATTTCAGTTCATAAAAAGTCACAAGACTTCAGTTTAAAAAAAGGAACAGTTCCAGCCACAGACCAAAAATATATATATTTTTTTAAAACTGGAAGAGTATGGTAATTAGATTATACAAGCATGGTCAGGCTTGGAACCTGAATATACTTCAGAGCAAAAGCTCAGAGGAAAAAAAAATATAAACTATTTGGTAACAAAAGTGTACTATATGTTGTGATACAAAAAAGGTATGGTGAAAATGTACCTTTTATACTAAAGCTTATACAAGTTCCTTGGTCCATAAAAACTATGTTGTGTTCATGTTTTCTAGTTTGCTCAACATGTATCCCAGCCACATTTTTTGTTTCTTGCCCATTAAAAAAACAGCTGAAAAATAGATTTTCAATAAAGTTCTTATGTTTCGGATGTTTGTTTTTTTTTTTATTGTGGCTTCTATATTTAAGATCAGCACTTGCAGGTAACAAGGTTCAAATAATATCACCTAAAATGGAAAGGTGTTTTCCCATGAAACCACAAAAATTGTTCAGTTCTCTTGAATGTAGCACTTAAAAGTCAGTTAAAGTCTAGACAAACAACAGTAGTTAGGAAACTACAGTTGCTGTAGATGATGTGACATTGGTTGGATTTGTGCTGACGTTTGTGTAACTTCCCTCGCTGTTTGTATTTGTTTCACTGGAAGCCATGAGGCTTGAGTTGGCTCTGAGGATTGCTCCAGCAGCACTGCAGTGTGGTCGTGGCCCTGGTTCCGGTGTGTATGTAAAGGTAAGGCTGGTGGAGTAAATTATGCCATCATTACGGACCAAAGTTACTGGAACCTGGACTGGCTGACGGACCCACCTCCAACCCTCTCGAAATGCAGAAATGTCTGGAACAACACATAGCATGCTCTCTGCGCATCTGAAAAACAGGAGAGTCAACTGAGCATAATAAAATTTAAGCTTAAAGAATAGAACAGAACAATTGGAAGGGACCTAAAATAATTATGTAGTCCAACTGCCTGACCACTTCAGGGCTGATCAAAAGTTAAAGAAAATTATTAAGGGCATCGTTCAAATGCCTCTTAAACAGCAACAGTCTTGGGGCATCAACCACCTCTACAGGAAGCCTGTTCCAGTGTTTGACCACCCACTTGGTAAAGAAACGTTTCCCCATGTCAAGTCTGAGCCTACCCAGATGAGGCTTTGAAACATTCCCATGTGTCATGGCACATGATACCAGGACAAAGAGATCAGCACCTCCCTCCCCACTGCCGCTTCTCAGGAAACCTTAGGAGCAAAGAGTTCGCCCTTCATAGGACATTACTTCCAGCCCTTTCACCAGCTTTTTTGCCCTGCTCTGGACACATTTGAGTCTCTTCACACCCTTTTTAAATTGTGGGGCCCAGAACTGTACACAGTGTTCAAGGTGAGGCCACACTAATGCTACATACAGTGGGACAATCACCTCTTTTGACCAGCTGGATGTGGTTTGCCCTCTTGGCTGTCAGGGCACACTGCTGACTCATACTGAGCCTGCTGTCAACCAGCACTCCTGGATCCCTTTCTGCAGGGCAGAAAGCATACACTTGAGTGTATACACATGAGCGTACACTCTTCAAAGCATCCACTAAAACTTAATTGCCATAGAAGTAGCAGGAAATACTGTACCTGTACATGGTTTCAGCTTCCACATCCCCAAACCAGACACGTAAATTTGGAGTGAAGTTCTGTCCTGTAAGTTCCAACATTGCTACATCGCCGCCACCATTCAACTGGAAAAGGAGTGAATAGAAATAAGAAGAAAATCTACAAAAACACATGTATTAATAAAAACAAACACCCCCCTCAGGAAAAAAAAAAAAAAGAAAAAATTCTTCACATGCATACAAGAATGGTAAACAGTGCTGTTTCTATCAGCTGGATCAAACTGAAACACACCTACATGACTGAACTGAAGTAACACATCTAAAAGATATTGCCAATTAATTCAATATCCTGACAGAACTTCTAAGTTTTGATAGTGGCCACTTAGAACAGAAGTCAACAAAGCTCTGAAAACAAAGAACAAAGAATCTTTCAGGGAATGTGTTAGGACAGCTTCAAGTTTTTCCACAGCAGAATGCTGATTTTCTTAATAAGGTTTCAGTGGCTCTCTTTGATCTTTAATCGGCTGTTTTAAGAGCCAAAATCAATTTCTAAATCATCAAATAGAAGTAAAAATCCTAAGGATATCACTACCATAGTATTTTAAGAAATAAAATTCTTAATTTGTATAGAACAATATTAATATTATTCCTGTGATGGACAGGCTCATGTATTCTGAAATGTAGGTAAGAAAAATTATTGCAACATAAAGTAATTTTCAGATTTATAAAGCTAGTAAGAATGTTTTCCTACAGTATTCCACAAAGGTACCATGAAGGTTAAATCAGTATTACAAAAATAATCTCACATACAAGAGTTTATTAAAAAAAACCAAACAAACTTACCTGAAGACTTTCTACAACAGGCACAGGTGTCACTGGAGCATGGACCGGTCCCATCCCCTCATAAAATGTGTATTCTGCTTTATCTGTGCTAATGATTGTCCAAGAAGCTCCATCATTAATCATTTCTTTATTTGGTTCTTTTGGGCATGGAGTGGCCTTAGAAAGAAAGAAAAGCTTTAAACCTGACCTGTAGACTCACTTGCCAAGTCACAGAGCTAAAAATCAACTCAGCCAGTAACAATGTCTACTATTTCAAAAATATGTTTCCTTATGTTTTTCCTCTAACAAAATGACCTAGAGAAAATCACATACATTTCAGCAGAACTAGCAGAAAACTAAAACTTGTGAGAATACTGTAACTCTTACCTATGATACTGTCACCATTCCAAGCTTCTGTTTATTATTGGGTTTTGTTTTAGTTCAGCTTTCAAAGTTTTAACATTATTTGACAGCCATTAACGAAAAAACTAGAGCAACTAGAAGTAGCTAATTTAAAATAGATCTACAGACTGAAATGGAATACTTTTCATTAGTTATGATTTACATCTGGCTAGATTTTTTTTCTTTTTACAGAGTTCTTCACCATCCACAAAATGATGGAAAATGCAAGCTTGTATTGCAGTGTTTGTGCAAAGATATGGGAGAGAAGCTGAAATGACAACCTCGCACATTGGTCAGAAACTTTCAGTCTCCTTGTAAATATTACTAAATTAGTATACATACATATATATATACAGACAGAAAATACACTGACAACTATTTTTCATGGCAACAAAAGCTTCTCTGAACAATACCATCATCTAGCAACCAGTAAGGAAATTGTGTATAAGTTAAACACATACACAGAAAAAAGTGGACTCAAAAATTCTACTTTTAATACCTAAATTCTGTCTTGTTCCATTAAGCTTTAAGGATATCTATGTATGTAACCATAACCTTCACTCTTCAAAACTGTTAGATAAACTTCAATTAGCACAAATTTACCAGTTCAGATGAAAGGAAGCTAAGATCAAAGCTGCATTCTCATGTGGACTCTTCATTCTGATATGATCATGTAAGAAACCACTGAAAACAGCTTGCAAGGTAAGTGTGCAACAAGGATAGTAACTACAGATCTTTCCAAGCTTAAGACCCAACTGATATTTTTCTTAGAAACATATGGAGCTTCTAAATTACTAGTCCAACTTCAAAAGAGGAACTGTTGCATACTATTTCGATGCATGACATTTGTCCTACAGGTTGACTGCAATTCCTGTTGCCATAGACTGACGTACTTAACTCATGACAAATAAAACCATGGATATCAAAAATTAATGACCCTGTACAAGATCCTTGACTGGCTTCTTCAGATCTGCTAAACCCCTGCCACAAAGTGGAAGGCAAATGCCACAGAATTTGTTCTGAAAATTCTGCTATGTCAAAAATAATTTCAGGAACACATTACTCCTTCTGTCATAGAAATCCTTGAAAGATTATGATTCCTCTTCTTCTAGAGAAGCATTCTTCCTTGTCACTTCTCAATATAGCAGTTTACCTTTAGGCACTTTTTCCCCCTCTCTTTCCTTTTATAATTAAACTTTCTCAGCAGGAGGCACTGGAAGATTGAAATGCCTTAACACCATGGTTAGTACCTCATGTATCGACTGGCTTCACATGGAGACAGGATAGGAAACAAACAATTGCATAACACTAACGGACAAAGGACAGAATTCCCCAAGAACTGGTAAACACAACAAGGACACAGACAAAAGGAATCCAAGGAATATAATATATTTGGATTAAAAAAACCCAAACACCAATAACACCCCCCCTCAACCCTCAAGAAAGCTCTGTATTAAAGGCTATTAAATTAAATTATAATGGATTGGAAAAAGTTTTGTTTTGGTTTGTTTTGTTGTGGGTGTTTTTTTGTTTTGTTTTGTTTTTTAATAGAAAGCTAATTAAAGGAAAGCAAAAGGTAGAACTCAACAGTCATTCTCCTTTCAAAACGCACAACAGTCAACAGTGCAGTCCCCTCCCTGAGACTGCTGTTGCAGTCAGTTTTATTCAATGTCCTCCCCAGTGTGCTGGTAAAGTCAAATCTTCAAAATTCTGCATGATCCTAAGTTTTTCAGGTAGTTAAATGCTGTTACAATTGCAAGGATTTTATGTCCAGAAGGACATCAAAATTAACATAGAGGTCAAAAAAGGTGGTAATGAGCTTCAATTTAGATAAAAGTGATATTTCTAAAGAAAAATTCAGTAAATGATGCCCATAAAATACTGAACTGAGAACTGGTAGTTACAAGGCAGGACCCTGGAGTCACCACTGAAAGTCTTCTGAAATCACCAGCCCAACATGCAGTGGCAGCTGCCAAGAGGCAACACAGTGTTGGACACCATCAGAAAAAGAAATTGGTAACAACGTATCAGGTATTATTTTGCCAGTGTAAATACTCTGTTCACCTAATTCTAGAATACTGTGTGCAGTGAAAAAAGAGAAGGTACAAAAGAGGCAACTAAAAATCACCAAGCAGCTGCTGACCTTATAAGAAGAAACTGAAAAGACTGTGACTCTCCAACTGGAGAGAAGAAATTAAGTTGTTGATGGGTAAAGTGAATGCAGAACTGTTGCTCACTAGATTTACAAAACTGGAAGTAGGAATCACTCAAAGAAACTATTAGATCATTCAAAACAAATATAGCAAAAGTTTACTACACAGAAGACAGGAAACCTCTTGAAATTTCTGCCACAGAACACTGCAGAAAAAGAGAGCATCAGCACATTCAAAAGGAATCAAACTGATGGACTACACATCTACAAAATGACACTAGAAGACAGGGTCAGGGATACAGCCTTTAACAGCCCTCAATACAAAAGGTGTGGATGCTGGCAGAGTATAACTGCACTGGACCACATAAAGCAACCAGGTCTGCTTCCCGTAAGCACCACCTCCAGCTGCTGCTGTTAGATATAGATAGGCACTATGCTCTGATCCAGTAAGGCATTACTTCTATTCCTTCTGTATTCTCCAGAATACAGGGACATCTTTAAAAAGATCTGGCTGGTACCTCAGCAACTGAATTTCAGGAGTTTTGTAGGTTCATGCTGACCTGCTGACTTTTTACAGCCTTTCTGCTTTAAGCCTCTAAAGTCTCTATATTGGGCTATTTCCATTCACGCAAGAGAGACTTGTCAACCTAAAGTGAACTTTGGGGTTTTTTTTGTGTGTGGGGTTTTTTTTTTGTTTTGTTTTGTTTTTGTTTTTTGTTTTTTTTTTTCTTTTTACAGTGACCACAGTTTGTCTAGACTCCTACTATAGGAACTGTATTCAACAGTAAATGCTTAAAAGCAGGCAGGTGAATGATGCCAACATGCCTGTTTCTCTGGTCTTGGTCTTCTGGTCCAAAGGAAAACATACATGAAGAGGGACTTCTCTCCTGCCACTGGCAGAAACAGTTTATCTTCCATAGTGATTTCACTTACCAAAGAGTGATAACCGTCCGATGTGCAAGTTAACAGATTTCATTCAACAAGTGGAAGCAGCAGGTACCTATTCCACTAAAAGAATTCAGAATAGTGGGTTGTCCTTTTATCTAAGCCCTACCCATGTGGAAAGTTCAGAGCTCTTATCAGATTAGGCTCCATGAGTGCTGCAGAAACGGAAGAGTGGTAGGATGTCCTGGTAGTCCCACAGGCAATTCCAGGATGTTGAACTAAGGCAGCTGTCAGAAAAGCAGGAGTTGCTTCTTCATTCAGCCGTTCTCATAGAGTAGTTTGAGAAAGATAAAATAGTAAGGCTGATCCTGAGTTATTGCAATCCCCATTTCATAGCTTTCTCCTCTTCTTGACCAAGGTCCATTCTCCTTCACGAGAAAATATATTGATAGATATATTTCTGCTATGTGCTGCAGATAGAACCAATAGATCTGGTCCCTTCTGAGCCACAAGTCATGAAAGTGTTTTCTGAAATATGAACAAAGCTTCTCATATTGTCTTTCCATTGTCCCAATTCAGGATAGAAGTCAATCGAGCCTTTACCAATCCATCTTGTCCCTTCAAAGGGAAATCTTCAGAAAGTTAGCTTCCCCCTTTCCTACCTCTACCTTTCTTACCCAAGAAGCCACAACTGTTCTCCTAAGGAAGTCCGAAGTCTTTCCCGAGTGTGGCCGTCTTCCTGGAGCACACCATTATCTCTCAATACCCTTTGCTATTTGAGCTGCCCTGGATGCTTAAAGAAAGCCGCAATACTTAGGTAGGTCTGAACTTGGCCACAGCCTTGTTACTCTGATGAGAATTAACAAGCTGAAAGTCTGCTAAAAGCATGCTAACATATATGAGACTAAACCCACAATTTGTTAGCATATTGTGCCAGTTGTCAGAAAAATTGTACACTGTGTGGTTTGTGGTTGTTTGGGTTTTTTTACAGCTCTCCCTAGGGGTTCATTCCTGTTACAGTAACTTGCTAGGGACATTTTCCTCCACCTGCTGTAGAAACAAATACTTGAAGACAGAGACAGTTACATTCTTTACAGACAATCAAATTTCTGTGGCTTTACAAATTACTGTGGTCAACTGCCATAGCAGTTTATGCTCTCAGCCAAGAGCAAGATAGCGCAACTCTGCTAAGTTCACCATGAAATAAAACTATCATGAACTCTATCATTTCCTATTTGCTGTAATCTAGAAATGGACACAAATAAGTGGTGCAACTCCACTGGCATATGTCAACATGTTAAGCCACAGTATCATGATTGCACGCACAAGTTCGTAATGTGTTTCCATTTCTTCCATTGAAGAAAATACAGTTCATTGTCTAGAGAGACATGGACGAAGGGTATGAAGAAAGAAAAAACACATTTGGAAAGGGAGACAAAGTTTGTTGCTTTCCATCCTCTGTTTTTTTTTTCCAAGACAAAATCTTAGACTCACATTCAAAACCAAATGCAAAACTGGCATTCATACATATTTTGGGAATATTTGGGAAAACTTTGCAACCACGCTAGTCATCTCTTGAAATAGTTTTAAACAACTCACTTGAAATTGGATAATTCTCTCCTGGGAAAGGCACAAATACATTCTCTCAGTGTCTTTAAGGTAAAATGCACATTTATGGAGCTGCGATACTGGATCATCTGCATCCAATAACGCTGTTTGTTTATCTACTTTTCGAATTATCTGTGAATGAAAATTGTACATATATATTTAGGACAATTTCTGTACTTCATTACATTGGAGATTACATATGTACTGTTAGTAAAGGAAGTGAAAGGTCTTTTTTTCCATGCCTCCTGTTTTAATACCAACATTAGGTTCATAATTCTCAATGGTTTTGAAACAAGAACACAACACTGAAGTGACACTCAGCACTACAGCTTCAATGCGCTGCATGCATATTTATATTCTATCTTCTTTGCTATAAAAGTGGGGGGAAAAAAAAAACTTTAAGCTTCAGCAAAATCTACTCTTGTTCCATTTCCTTGTACAAAAGAGCAGTAAATCAAGCATTAATAAACTTCTACAGAAGCTTCCACTGTTGACAGCATCAACAACATTCTGTGGCAGACTGGTTGATGAACGAGAACAGTTGAAAATAAGGGTTTAATTTAAAGGTATTGAGATGTCCTTAAGTACAGTTTTGCAAGCACAACAATCATAGTGTATCTTAACAATATTTGGTCATTAAATATTACTTAAAGACAACTGCAAATAACAATTGTTCCTTATGTCTGGCAGTTCAGTGAAAAAATATCTGCTGACTTAATTCAGATCTGTTATACTAATTTATTTTTAAAAATTAAAAAATTAATTCCCTTACAGACAGTGGAAATCTGTAGCTTGGAATTTTAACTCAACTTCCAGAAAAAAGTTTAATACTTCATTTTATGCAACATCAGCAGAAGCAGCAGCCAAAGCGCTTGAAGATTTCTAAGCCGACAATCAGAAAGCAATTCTAACGATAATAAATCATTTCTAATAATAAAATGATAAAAGATCATTTCTAATGATAATAAATGGCGTTATTAGCAATATAAGTTTCAAGGTTAACTTGTTTCTTTAAAGTTCTTTGCATTATCTTACAAAATGTCTGCAAGTTACCTTTTAATAGCATCACCTTCAATCAATCTTGTAAGGCAGCATGACAAATGTTCCCAATAACAAACAAAACAGGAACCTTTAGCCTAATTTGTTTTCATCTATTTCTACCTACAAATAAGGTTTCTGGAATCATAACTTATGGCATCTCCTTTCAGCAATAAGAAAATATTAACATGAAGCCCACAAATAAATTGAGATCCTCTTACTGAATTCCATATGCACTGAACCAAATCAATAGTAACCAGGTCTGGATTTTTCTGTCAAATACCATGATTTAAAAAAAAACAAAACAAACAAACAAACAAAAAAAACCAACAACCTACTGAAATTATCATTTTATACCATTTACTCTGAGCAGGCTATCTTCTTCCTTAGCTAGATTTGATATTGGGAGAGAATTTCTCATTTAAATCCTAGTCAAAAGTCTGGGAAGGAGAACGAAAACCTGCCTGCAGGGAAGGTTGGTTTTACATTGATGCATTTTAAAAATTGCTTCTGGTTAAAAGTGGAATTAGCAAAGCCTTGTATGAAATTCATAATGGGCTGACAAACCACAATTTCACAGAAGATCTCATATGAAGCATTGTTTATTATCAGTCACATAAAATTCTACTTAAGCTGGCATTAAGTGCATAAAACAGGAGGAAAAAGAAAAATTTATAAACATACTTAAACTTATTTATAAAAACCATTACTGTGCATCCAGCAATAGTTTGCTTGGTTCACAAACCTTAACTGGTTATAATCAATTTTGTATCTTTGACAAAGACAAAGGCTGAAATTGTCTCTTTATAAAAAAAAAGTTATTCCAAAGGCATTTCCAATGTTCCGTATTATAAATGGACAGTATTAATAAGTGTCCAAAATGCTTTTGCAAGCTGATATCAGTATAATTATGTATCCTTAGAAGTACACAGAAGTGCTTTTAGATTCAAATCAGCAGAGCATTTTTAAAGATGTGCTTAACTCAACAAATGGAATAGTCCTACTGGCTGCAAAGACTTTACTCAACTATTCAGAATCAATATTCAAAGTATTTTGCTACACTGGGACCTACATTACTGTTTTAAAAATAGACATTTTCTTAAGGACAGCTTGCAGATTAACCTACTTTGGCAGGTTTGAATGCTGAAAATTTCCCTATGCTTATTTTACAAGCTGTTCTTTGCTTACAGAATTAATCTGCAGATAGAAAAATACACTTTTATTAAAATGAATGCCATTTTCCATATAAAACAAGTATTACCAAAAGGAAACATACAAAGCCAAAAATTGTAAACAATGCATACCCAATTATGCAATCACATTAAGTAGCCATCTACAAATTAATTACAGCATTGGAGAAATTAAACTGTACCAGTCTTGGGAGTGCCATGCCAGTAACTGAGCATACAAGTTTGACAGTCTGCCCATAATGAATGTAGCCATCTCTCACTGTGAATTCTTCTCCTTCTGATTCATCATCATCCACTGCATAAAACAGGAATTTGTTTTAATCACGGAAAAAATTTGTTTTAAATCCTGAAAAAATGCAGGACTTTTTTGTGGGGATGGAGAGAAACAAAATATACTGCTTCATTTTTACTTACAGAGGTGAATGTAAAATGCTCCCCACTGTTGTGAACTGGCATGGAAATTACCACCTTCTACGTGCAAATATCTGGTGCTAACTGTTTGGGATCGAAGTCTATTAAATAGTGCCACTTTTGTCCCTGATGCAATACATACTGCAAGGAACACATACAGACTTGAGATTATAAAATTACCTCACTATTACATAGAAAAGTAGCAAAAAGTCACAAATACAGTAAAATAAACTGATGAATACTGGAAATCAAGACATATTTCTCAACTATTGGTTAATTCAGAAAATATAAATATTTGTGACAGACCACAAAATCACAAAATTACAAGTGGGATAACATACACAGTGTCTGTTCTCCAAAGGCATGCTAGTTCACAGAATTTTGCCACTTAGCCAAATGGGCCAGTGCATGCCAACTGAAAATTCCTTCTGTTCATAGTTCTCCAACAACTCATCTTTAGCTTGCCCTTGTGAAGTACTTAGACAACTTTCAGTGGTCATTTGGAGTATATTTGAAATATAAAGAAAAACTATTCTTACAAATCATGATCAGCTGAAAGGAAGACAGACACAACTATGTAAAACTGTAACCATGCAACTTGAAATTTTCTCAGATCTGAACTTACTTATCATTCACGAGAGAGAAATGTTAAGTCTGCTCCCCTAAAAAAAATAAATCAGCAACTAGCGTTTTGCCATCAAAACAGGCATGTTTCTTCTACTTGGTTCATATTTACTATCGAAGAATGCTTGGTTCATATTCACTGTCCATCAAAACTATCTGTCTGAATACAAAGTCAACAGTGCATACTCTGAGCCCACGGGCGTGAACTGCACAGCAACAGATTGCCTTTAGTCATGTGGCAAGCTAGCGGCCCCGAGATCCACATTCCATAGGTGAATGGGTTCCAGCCCAACACAGATGGAAGAGCCTTTTAAAGCACTAGTGAAGAGAGAGAGAAAAACAAACAAACAAAAAAGGGTATCTCTTGAGGTGCTCCAGTGGTACGCAGGCAAAAAAGTTTGGAGGAAAAGCAAAAATGCTCCCAATTATACATCAGCACCAGAGATATCTTTAGTTGAAAAACACGGTAAGCAAATAAATCTGGGTGAAATATCACCATACAGATTTCTTAACCAATTACTTAAAAGTAACCATGCAAAAGATATTAAAAATAAAAACAACATGAAAATGGCATGAGACAATAAGAAGGTGGCTGTGATGTGACAAAGTGCAGTTTGGATAACATGATGCTACTCATTTATCACAACCTGAAAGCTTTCTCTTTAATATTGATCAGATCATGGCAGCTTAAGAGATCCAACAGCCTAGAAAGCTGAGGTAGAGCATTCTTTATGCATTTGTCTACAAAGATTCATTCCTCAGAATAAAGGTTTTTTGGTGGACCTTTTATATTTACTAAATAATTAACTGTGCATAAAATTTAGTGTAACCCATCTATATTGGAATACCTTAAAATACACTGATGTGTACAGTTCTGAAATACATTAGAAAAAACAGAAATTGAAAATTTCATTGCATTTAGTTTGTAGTCAGACCTTAGAATAAATAAGATAAAATTCGCAGGAGGCAAAATGAATTGCTACATAAAGAACTGTAAAATACTTACAGTCTGCATTTTTCAGTGACTGTTTCTTTTTAGAAGGTTTGGAGATGACTTTGATCCGTTTACTGAGGAACACACCGATGTCGTCACTATTGCCATAGAACATTTTTACCGATAACATGAAGTGCTTTCTCTTGTCTGAGTCTGATATGTATAATGTTTTGGCAGTGCAATAATTCTGTAGGTGAAAACATGCTGTTGTTTCTTCTTTCAAGTCAACCCAGTTCAAGAAACGATGTATATTTAATCATGAACAAAATAGGAAAACTGATGCAATAGTTTCTAAAACAGATCAGAAACTGCTTTTTCCATCTCTTCCATATGGATCTTTTATGACTACTGTTCAGCTTTGTGAAGTTTAGCACCCAACTTCTGTGCCTTAGCGTCTTTCTTAAAGACCCTTACCAGTACTGGAAAACAGATGATTAGACTACAGCTGTGTCAAAGCCATCTCTGAGTAGTTAGCACTACTAAAAATTACAGTTTAGTAGAGCTATACAGGCAGTAAGTTGGGCATGCACAAGACACTGCCTGTGCAGAAAAGACATTGAGCCAAACTTTACCTGAAAGGACAGGAGATGATTGGGTTTTGAAACATCAGAAAGTTACTTTCTGCTAAGTGTTTACAGTAGGTAATAACAGGAGCTTAAAAAAAAAGAATCTCAAAGATAGCTTTTATTATTATTTTCCTATTCAGCAACATATGAAGCATTTCTAAGTAGACTGTACTGGAAATACTAGGTAGCTATAAAATACTGCTTAATAAAACAACCAGCTAAAATGAGCACTCACGTGCTGCCAGTTCTATTCCACTATATTTTATTAAGATGCTATTTTAATTGTATTTTTATGCAGAAGGACTTAAAGACCACTTCCAGCAGCAGATGTTGTTCAGATACTTCCTTGATGGGATTATCCATTCACTCAAGGCAGGAAGAGGGACACGGAGATCGGGCCAGAAACCTTACTTCAGTTAATGACTAATGCTCACCAAATAAACTAACAGTTTACTGACTCTGAATCAACAACCTACAAACAAAAGGTTAGTACCCTGCTATGATCCCATAAACCAAATCTACCTATTAAATTGTCCTACATATTTCTGAGGGATTTTTTAAAACCCTTTATGTAATATCTGTTACAGTGTAACAAAAGTTAGCAAAATAAGCAAAGGTATTCCTTGAAATATGCACCACGTAGCTATAATATCCTTTGAGTGTTTTATTACAATTCTTCTACCTTTCCTTCCAAGTTCAGCTGCTGCATTTCTTGGTCGCTGTTTCCTATTCCAATGAAGGCGCAAGGCTGCGACTCTTGCTCAGTGCAACCATCCCGTTCCATTTGCTCTTTTTTTTTCTTCCACCCACTGCCCATAAGATACACACATGGAGGAGGACAAAAGAACCTGAAAATGAAAAACGCATTATAAGATTACACACTGCTTTCCAGAAAATCCTGAGACTGAAACTGTTGTGTACCCAAAAATTTCTCAGCCTGTTCACACTTTGCATTCGATTTTATACATCCATGCCTTTCATTTGCCTTGAAGATTTTCTAAAATGCAAATCAAAAAAAGAGAAAAAGCAAAGAAAAATAAGCATTAGATGCACTGTCACTGAGTATCTTTCCAGTTCAATATACGATAGGTAACAGTCTGCATCTCTGTAAAATGAAAACGCTCTCTACACTTACAAAGAAGAGATTCTCAAAGAAAGTAAAGAAGCCTTGAAAATAACGAGCATTTTGCTTTGTAGGTGCCAAACATGATGCAGCGATTAATACACACAGAACAGTTCCACCAACTAATTTAACAGACAATTGCTGACTACAGTTCCTAAACATGTAGTGTTTAATCATTAATAAGGAAGGAGTCTATTCTGTCCAACCTCTTTTCAGTTTTCAAAAGGAACAGATGATTTCACATCTTCATCAGTAACTGCAAAAGATATGATTTAGTCTTTAGCAGCACTGACTGAAATCAGTCTCTAGATGCTACTAACAGCAACATGTTCGAAGTTAAATGCAGCATTAGCACACAATGTATTGGTTGAAGTATCTGCAAATTGTTAAAATGCAAATTGTAATCACTTTTGGTTTTAGTTTAGCCAACAGCTGCAGTGTTTCTAGTTAAGATCAAAGTTAAAGCAGAATGAGTACATCCAGTTGTCAGGTAGCTAAAAAGGCATGAAGGGAGAGCATAACTGAAAGAGCTTTTAATTATTCCATTTATTTCCATTTGTCAGAGTAGTGCTTAACTTGGCACTTCTGAAACATAGAGGTAGGTAGGGTTTTTTTTTTTAAATTTGGCTTGGGACAACTGAATTCATGGATTATTTCTATTAAACACTATATAAACCCTGACTAGTGGAAGTCAGCTTTAGTATGAAAATCAAGTCTAATAACGCTTCTTTATCACACCTATTCAGCAAAAATATCTTTAACAGATATAAAATGCTTTTCTAAGTAACAGAATTCTTAATAGATGAAACCGAAGTCATGAGTTAATCACATAATAATAAAATGTAAATATTAGGAATCCAAATGCAAAGATTTGTAATCATTTCAGTTAATGCACATTCTTTGTTAGAGAAACAAACAATAAAATTTTAATTTTTACTGCAATACAAAATGTCTCGGTGGTTATGATAACAAGCAAAAATTACCCCCTGCAGGTGAAAAAAACCCCAACAACCCACAACCTTTCTATCTTGCCAATAAATCCACCAAGAAAATTTTTCACTTAATTTTTATAACACACAACAAAATTGATTATATACCAGTACACATACAGCTCAAATATCCATGAACATCTTTCAAAAGTATCATGCTGTGGTTTGAAAAAAGACGGCCTACAAAAGAGAATTTGTAGAAAGCAGCTTGCTATGTGACATCAAAAGATCTGCATGTTCGAGAATCCCATTAATTTCTGAAACTGCTCCTACAGATTGCTTTTAAACTTAATAATTCTAAACAAATAGAAACAAATGCTATATTTCCTCCATTATGATAATCCATTTCAGCAAAGACTTGTAACAATTATTTGTTCCTTTTACTGCCTTCATACTGTTCTGCAGCATAGAAATTTTGATAAAGATGGAATTATGAATTAACAGAAAGCCATTTGTAGAAGCAACCTATTCAAAGTTTCACAACTAACATTTTTTCATGTGCTTATTGCATCAGTTTTAACTATTTGTATTTTATTCTTTGGGGTAATTATGGGTCATATGAGGGTTCTGGATTTTTTTTGTCTTCCAATTGAAAATGCAGAACACAGAGAACCAAGGCAGCAAGTAGAAACTTGCCAATTCACAAGGCAGATGTTTCCTGATGGAACTGTCAACTTGAGAAACTACACAATAAACTACCTCAAAAATAAAATTTAACACTTTTGCAGTAGCAGCACAAGAGAATACTTCCACTAGCCCAACCATGAATCATAAAGTTGAAATTTATAGTTGTCTGACATTAGAATGGGTTATTGTAACTTTATTGCTGTAAGAAGTTCTGAAATTTGAAAATCGCCATGAATAGAAAGAGTAAGCAGTAATAAATGTATCAAACAGCAAACACTATGTATCCCCTTTTTACTTCTTACCTTCTGCTACCTGACCTCTTCCAGCTTTCTTCATGAAGATGCTGAATGATGCAGTAGGAGTATATTTAAGAACATCATGAGTTTCTGTTGCACGATAATTAAATTCTCACCTTCCTACTACAATTATTTTACCTCAAAACCAGGAATGCATTTCCTACTTTTCAATTGCATTTATTTCAAACAGCACAGATAGCATGACCTAATTTCCCTCAAATGCTTCTCTACCTTTCCTTAAAGGAAAAATGATCTTAAAAGGACTTTTGTTTGTGAGGGAGACAGTTCAATGACAATGGTCAAGATCATAAAATTCCCATTGAAGTACAAGGTGTATATTTCCTTTCTACATGATCAATCTAATTTGTACACCCTATATCACCCCACATCTAGAGTAAATACCACAATTGTTGTTAAAAATCTATTCTGAGGCTCATCTACTGGTTATGGCAACTTTCAGCTTGTTTTAAGAAAACAAAAAATCAAAACAAAGCAAGAAATAACAGTTTTAGCATTACACTGAGAAAACTTCTACTGTAGACAACTGTGATCACATTTTAAAAAAATATAATAGATATACACACATATACATGGGGTGGGAAAGAAGCAAGAGCAGAAGAAAGAGTCACGTTTTTATAGGACTGACCAGGGGTCAGGCAAGGGCAATGATCATGCCCAAGTACAATTCAGGAGGCCTACTCTACTTTGCTATCCGAGACAGAGGAAACATGACAGTGGCTTATGAACAATACTTTTCAAATGGGGGTTATGAACTAATTCCAAGGTTAGGAAATGCAATTTGGGGGGAGGGGTGGGGAAGAAACTTCAAGTAACAGACACATTTATACAAGAGTTGATCTTTTGGAAACAAACTCACATTGCCAGAAAAAGCACACCACATAGCTAGTCAGCTTCTGAACTCTCTAACTTGAGTGACAGTACAAGATCCCTCCAATAAAGAAATTATAAACAGACTAAAAATTAGTATCAGCCTTTATTACTGGAACAAAGCTTTTCAAAAAAAGAAACCAAACTCCTTGTATTACAAGTAGGTATAGCACCATAAAGCAAACATCACACATTTACCTTTCTTCCTCATGTACTCTTTTGTATTTGTCTTACTGAAAAACGGTTTTTTTCATATCCTTTTTCATTTCAGCTTTATTCTAAACCAAGTCCTCTGAATAACTATGGCCACTAGATGGCAATGAAGACCTGTAAGAAACAAGTTTTAACCCATAGACAAGACAAAACAAGCCACAACAATTAATGCACCCTGTTTAAATTAGAGCACAGAGAAAAACCTTGGAAAACTATGACTTACTGAACAAATAAAGAAACTTTTGAAGCTGAGAAAATTGTAAGTTTGGTTAAAACTACGAAGCAAGAAGAAAGAGTCTGGACATTCACAATTTCAACAGGTTTTCTTACAGCCTCTTCCTCACTCTTCAGTATGGACAAGTACAGTCTGGGGGCTTCTTACTTCTTATTTACAATTCCAGAAACTAATGTATAGAAGAGATTAACTATAAATTTTCTATCCAATATAGTGCGAGTAAAACATGAGTATCCTCATATATCTGATTTCCACAGGGGATAAAAGAAAATGTCTTTGATATGTATAAAATAACTGCTGGGAACAGGTTTCCTCATTAATAAAACATTTCTGATGTAAATACGAATGTAAATTTTTACATGAGAGGCTGGCTTTCAGATAACTATAAAAAGGAAAAGAGAAAAAAAAAAATCACCTCCCCAAAATAAGTGAAGTAATTTAGGTGAAGTAATTTCCAGTATTACTGATGGAAAGTAAGGTAGGATAATGTTTGGTGGAACAAATGAAAATACTCTTCCTTCACCCTTTGATTTACAGGGCCTACCTCTCTTTTTTCTTTAACCACAAGACTAAAGTAAGACTGAGTAGGAGGTAAAAATTGTTCTGAAGTATTAATCTGACCTATAGTGAAAAGAACATTATGTTGGAGGGAAAGACAGATGCGTCTGGTTCTTCCGCGCTTGTTCAGAATTTTCAGTACAAGAAGTAATGGTGGAAAATCATGTAGGATGTAATTTCCTCACTGGATTTGTAACATTTTCTCTTAATAGCTCTTCCCTATACCATGACCAGACTAGCAATTCCTTGCTGAATGAGCAGTAAAACATCAGAGGACATTCTCCTATGAGGTAAACGCCTAACAACTTGATCTAAAAAACACATGAGATCTGTTAGGGATCAACTCTGAGCTCTTTCATTACGGGAAGTATAACAAACAGGAATGTCTTTCCTGGACAAAACCTATTCCACACTTGTTAGAGCTGCATGATGAGATGCAGATTCAGTGCTTCCCACTCGTTGATACAAAGCACAGTGACTGAACCAGTGTAACATTTTGGGATACCAGGTCTCTGCAAATACTGAATGCATTTATCATATCTTTACACCATTTTTCATAGACTCCTAGTTTCTCAGAAGAAGCTCTCTGCGATGCTCCTCCTATGCATCTTCCAAGAATTTGTGATCAGTGTAATTAAAACAATGGCTAATCTTAAATGAACCTAACATTGGGACTGATATTAGCCATGACAGGATCAATCTCCAAAAAGTAAATGGTATCTCCATAGTGCCTTCTTGCACTGTAATTTCACAGGCCATTCAAGTTTGGAAAGACTTGTATTACAGTGGTCAAATATTGGAACAGACTGCCCAGGGAGGTGGTGGAGTCACCATCCCTGGAAGTATTCAAAAAAAGTGTGGACGTGGCACTTCAGGACATGGTTTAGTGGCCATTGTGGTGTTGGGTTAATGGTTGGAC